TAAATCTACATACAAATCACCCAATTTTCTCAACACAAATTACATATGAATAAACAAATACCTGCTTGTAAAGCTAAATGCTTCTAAGTGATTGATAAAGTAGCACCGTGAGAGCAGGGTGATATCATAAATAAAAAGAAAGAAAAGGAGAACATATGAATACTTTAGAGCTTGAGGTCCCACTCCCACCAACCCAGCAAAAATTGGACAACATGGGAAGAAGAGAAGACACGCTACAAACAGTGATTTTTTTTTTTCTATTATTTATTTTCTGCCGACACAAGTGAAAAATTATCAAAATAACCACCAACCCCCCATAGAAAAATATATAATTTCTATAATGCTGCAACAAAAACTGGAATTTTGCCTCATCACCACAATGACTCCAATTGCGTTTCATGGTTGTTAAGTCGAGACTTGTTTTATAGATTTATAATTATTTGGGTGCTCTCTCCCGATGAACCCGTCAGTTTTCGAATATATGAAGACGGGACAACTTTCAATAGAAAATGTTTATTACTCATCGAAGAATATGAATTCTTGCTGGTTATGACTCGTGAGTCCAACAATTCAAACACATGATGAGACTTCATCCAACCTGTTGATTCTTGAATTGTTTAAATCAGAATTCATTTTTTTCCCCTGAAAAACATATATATGTGTGATGAAGAATCCCCAGGCAAATGACTGCCTCCACTATTGGCATTTCACCAGGTTAAAACATGTCATTAATGTAGTCAGATCTGGTCTGTACAGCAGTGGATTTTCTTAATCTTTGATGGCTAATATTCTTTTTCAGTCTGTATCGAAAATGCAGAAAATAACAAACTCTGGGTGATTCCAAGCTTTTGCTTGGTACAAGCCAAGAACATTCTTAACTACTACAAAATTGTCTACTGCTATACTTTCGATGCTTTGAGTTAGAGACTTGAGTTTGGAGTCCTAACAAACTGTCCCGTGATAAATCAAAAGAAGATAAAGGATAATATCAAAGTCATCAGGCCTTTATGCCCTAGATGACACACATGCTACAATAGGTATGACGAAGGATCGCAATTCTACGAAGTTGAGCTAACCCAAAAACCCACCTTCAGTTCAGATTGCAGGATGTAACTCGCCTGCATCAAGTCGGAATCACCTGTCAGCAAAGTGGCGGCGAACTCATTCATCTTTTAATGACCTGTTTTGATAAGATGAGCTATACGGCATTGGATAATATTAAAGAAAGGTAAATAAAACCAAAAATCTTATTTATAATACTGTTCGATCCCGTCGAACAATTACCCTATGGCTACTTTGGATAACCTGATAAGGCTATTTTCAGGTATTGCAAAGAGTGGTGATTTTGGGATGCCATGATTGAGCGTAGCCATTTGAGTAGATTGGGTCCCCTGCAGTCCTTACGCTACCCCATGCAGTCCCTCCCAACCCGCCTTTTACGGAATAAGTAAGTCGGTACCGAACTTTAAAAAGGGTCGGTTGAATCATAGTCATCACCTGGTAATCCAAACTTATTGTCATATTGTACACTCCTTATAGCTACTTTTGGGTGATTCTCATTGAAATCAAGTTACCTGATTAGACCTCGCACTAATTCAACCAAATTCTTCCTCTATTTGTCTTCTCTTCCTGCAGCAGTTTCATTACTCTTCAAACCAAGAAATCTGCTCTGAAATTTCTGCTATTGAGTCCCTTCCCTTAGCAATTCCTTCTAAATTTCAAGATTCTGCTATACAAGTTCTTCTCTTTAATCATTTGTGCATTACCTATGTCTATTATAAGACCAAATTCGACGTCCAGTATGAGTATATCACGTAATCTTGGAAGAACTTCCTTTTCCTGGTACTTAAATGGAGGGGAAAAAACCTTAGTACATAAACCAGCAGACTCAAATCAAAGCCAAAATTCATCCTCCTCCACCACACATATACCTTTTCACCTTGGAAAAAAGAAAGCAGAAGACACAGAAATCGATGTTTTCACTGCTGATAAATATTTCAACGAGGGGACAGTCGATAGCCCAAAAACCAAGGAATTACCAAATCAGAAGCATAAGAAAAAAGATCCCCTTCAAATATTTGATATAAAAGAAAAAACTACGACTTCACCCCAAAGTATTCATTCTGAATCAAGTGGGAATAGTCGAAGCTTGTTATTGCATAATATTCCGAGAAATCAGCAACCCTGTAGAAAGAGTAACAAGAAGAGCTTTCTTGCCAACATTGGTTGCAGTTGCTCGTGTAACGAAAAGAATTCAGTCGAAATTGATGATTATAAGGGCCATAACTATCTTAACAAGAGCATTAGCAGCAGGGTGGATAATGGGAAAGCAAAACAAGAACTCGAAAATAGGGATGTCGTTGCCAGTAAGGAGGATTTGCAGTGCAAAAAACTCGATGAAATACAAGTTAAGTTGAATACAGAGGATCATATCAGCTTCCCAGTTTTTAATCCCAAGACTGTAAATCCAGCAGTTGAAATGGAATTACAAGAAGTAGAAGATAATTCGATGATATCTCTTGAAGTTTTTGGCCTCCCAATACTACAGAATGGGAAGAATTCATTGATACTCGAGAAAAAGTTAACCATGTTGAAATGGGATACAATTTCTCCAAGAGTGGAAGAAATTGAAGTTCCGGCAAGTTCCAACAGAGCGTACAAGGACAGTGATAGCGATACAAGTTCAGACTTATTTGAGATTGAAAGTTTGTCGAAAAATGCCAATTCCTTTATTTCCAGGCAGGAATCAGATGGCAATAGCATGTCCACCTGCTTTACCCCCACAACTTGTTATGCACCTAGTGAAGCCAGCATAGAGTGGAGTGTCATCACCGCCAGTGCCGCCGATTTATCCACCATGTCAGATACCGAAGAGCGAAGACCAACTATCACCACTGCTGCAGCCACCGCCACCATAGCATATCCCCAGAAGACGGTACTAAATCTGCCAAAATGGCATCGTCCAAGCATTCTTTCTGGTTGTAAAAGTCATACAGCTGTTAGAGTTGCAGGGGACGCATTTCCTATTGCAAGAAGGCACCACCAACCAGAGTGTTTCACGCCGGTGACAAGATTTCAAGCTGAAAGTAAGCTGACAGGATTCGATAAACGAAACAGAAAAAATACATTCGATTCAAGCTTTCTCTCTCGAGTCTAGATCACATCTGTTATAAAACTGCATTCTGGAATGTGTTCCCAGAGTTTTTTCCGTTGTTACCGAGTGATTAAAAGTTGATAGCTAATAATGAGCAGAATAAAATATCTTAAATCTTCGTGTAAGAGTTTTTTACATCTACATTTATCTATCGATAACACAAATAAACACACAGTATCACACCACCTCAAGGAGCAGCATCATTTTGGCTTCGGATAATAGTTTTTGTCGTAATTTTCTCTCGAGGTTAAAAATTAAACATTCTGTCTATCGCGTATGTTGGTTTATTCGGACTTGAACAAACATATAACGTTGGTGAACTCACATAGATTCGACCATCCAGAAGTATCAAGCATATTTCGGCAAGCAAATGTCCAGGTCTCAGATAGACCATGGACAGTAAATTTCAACATCTGTAGTGTGGCTTTCTGAAAGACAAAGGGGTGCAAACTGCAAAGCGAAGGTACACTAGGAGATCGTGCTCTAGAAGATATGGCTATGCAGGACACATGCATTTTGATTTGGTTATGTTCATGGAGACATAGATGAAGCTTTAGACATGCCAAAAATAGGCTATGTACATATAACATACATTGGTGTGATCTGAGTCTAGTGTTGGAAATTGGTAAACTACATTAACAATTGAGCTATGAAGGTTTTAAATGATTTTTCAACTTAGGAAAGTTATGCAAAGAATTAAGCTCCTTGTATGGATGAATTGAACAGTAAGCATTACAAATTTACAGGTGGCAATATTGCGTTGATTGGTTGAACTGTGTTTTTTGTCCAACAGCCAATTAAATCTTGACAGTTGGTAATCTGTCAAAAAAAATTATCAACCATTTCTGTACATATTGCAAGCTTGGGATAAAAATGGAGATAGGAAGTGAGAGGAGGTCCAAGGTACGTTTGCCTTGGATGGCATTACTCGAGGCTTTGCAGTTCCATGCGAGGCCTTGAGGCCACCTGCGTGGCCGTGCCAAAGTAGCCATTAGGCTACATTTTTCAGACCTTTTTTTGAATTTATAAAAAAAAAAAAAAAAGTCTTTTCTCCAAGATTCATGTCAAAATCCATGAGTAACAACCACAAACATGTACAAGTGTTGTGTGAATAAAACCATTCCAAATATGGAAAATTTCAGATTTTTCCTAGTTCATTTTTTGTGTTCTTAGAGTTGTACACTTGTTCTTGGTGTATAATCTCTGAAAAGGATTATTTAATTCTGGATGCTATTGCCGGACGTGTTCAAACCTTCTACAAAATTATAAATTAAAAAATGTATAAAGTGAGAATTATTTGGCATACAAAGGGAGAGATCATGTAAGTCAAGAAACGATCTCGACACCCAAATTATATAAAGTACAATTCAAAAAAATCGAAAAAATACATCCGATTCTCTAAAGAAAATTATGTCTTAAAGTAATTCTCGTCATGGTACAAGAAGTCTCCAAAAAGTGACTTCAATATATTTCTCTTAAGAGTTTTAGTGTAGGCAACGTTAGTTTACATATTGCTTGGGCTCCAATGTGGTGTTCTAAATTTCCAGCCTAAGATCTCCCCATAAGAGGAGCTAAAGTTGAATGCGGTTCTATACCTGAGGAAGAAAAGTTCCACGGTGGCCGTTTCATTTAGCCCCCGTTTGGCCCCTATTCTTTCCAAATTTTAACGGTTGGAATAGTGTTTTTTTGAAAATTGTGTGGTTGAAAAAGAATGAAAAATTTTTCGATTTACGTGTAATATTATTTTATGGAAGATTGTATGGTTGAAAATAAGAGATAGAAAAAGAATGAGAAAGAGAGAGAGAGAATGGAGGGCCAAACGGAATTTTAGTGTATTCACTTGTGATCGCATCCAAGCATTAAAATCATCGTGATCAATATTTCGTTATCTCGGACAACTTGATAGAAATTATAGTTAAATTTCCAGATAGGATCTTCAATTGCCAACTACCCAATCCAGAGTAGAAAAAAAGAGTGCAAAATTTAATGAGAAAGGTCCAGGGAGGAATATAGATTAAAGCCCTGTCGTATTCAAGAATAAAAAAAACATCTTATATTGGCCAAACAACTAAGAAAGATGCTACAAATCCAAAATAGAAAACAGGGTAAAAAACAAGGGCGCCATGTGTTAACAAGCAGTTGGACAGTTTGAAATTTTTTTAAAAACACATCCAATCAAAAACATCAAAATTAGTCTGTTTTCTTGCTTCCTATCTTCAACTCTGTCCAAGGAAATTAATTGAACAACTATATATCAGAGTGCCAATGGATTGGTGGTCCTCGACATTGAAATTCCTAAAGCAGTTGAGAATTAATG